CTGACTACCTGAAGGTCTCCATTAATGGGCCACGCCCAGAGTAATTCAACTACAAATGCGCATTAGCATTGTTTTTCTCAAAGCCCAGGAAAATTAAATGTCCAAATTCAGGCTGCAAAATTTGCCAACAGGAATACAGGGAGAGCTTAATACCTGATTAATACCTGATTAATACCATGATTAATACCATGTCCTCCTCATCCATCAATTTTCTGTACTGCTTATCCTACATGAGACCCCTCTGGGACCCTCTGTGTGTTGCGTTATTTTGAGGGGACAGCAAATTTACACTGTTACACAAGCTGTACACTCATTACTTTACATTGTAGCAAAGTGTCATTTCTTTAGTGTTGTCACATGAAAAGATATAATCAAATATTTACGAAAAATGTGAGGGGTGTACTCACTTTTGTGAGATACTGTATATATATTGCATTTTCTTGATTGTAGAAGTAGCCAACCCTGCTGATAAATGTCCTTGTTAGAACTCCAGTAGCTATTGTGCAGTTCAATGGGTCTAGCTGATATCCATTTCTGCTTAGCCAAACCTTAGCCATATGGACTCCACCACTTGAGGATGGAGCCTCCAACCCCCGGGTCTCAGCCCTTGCCTCAACAGGATGTCTGCACCCACATTTCGCTTGCCCAGAATTTACATTGCATTCACTGACAAGAACTTTCCCTCTGCCCAGAGAAGAATTAATTGCACCTTCCTGAACACATGGTGACCGCTTAATTGCAGAAGAAAGAATTTCAGTGCTCGATATACGGCCTGCATCTCTAGACAATTTATATGCCACTCCAGATGACTGCTGCTCCAAAGACCAAGCCCCAACCCGTGTGGGAGGCGTCTGTCATTACCGTCTTGTGATAAGGAGATGCTAGAAAGTGTGTGTGGCTAGAAACCGGCGACACCTCCAAATTCTGAGAACACGTAGGCATCACCGAATGACACTGATTAATCTCAGAGGTTTTGTCCTCAGACGAAACCCCTGACTAATCAGCCACCAATGAAATGGTCTCATGCACAATAGGCCCAAGGTTATGATGTTGGCTGCTGCAGTCATAAACCCCAACAGTCTCTCAGAGAGACTGGAGGGGATGCCCAGACCCAGCTTTATCTTGCTCAACTTTGATAGGAGTGACCATATGTGTGGTTGGGATAGAAACTTCCTCATCATAGTTAATTTATCTGGTTAATTTTAGCATGATCCAGGGAATTTTAGCATGATCCATCTTCAACATCGAGATGTTGTTCTCGCCCACATGAGGAGTTTGGGGCTCAGGTTGAACCTCATTAAAAGTTTGCGTTCTCCTTTGCAGAGGACACTTTTCTAAAAGTTATATGGGAATATGACTCTTAAAGAATTAACTACGATGAGGACTTGTCTATCCCCACCATACATAGGGTCACTCCTAGCAACATTGAGCATGTTTAGCTACTTCACTTAATCTGCTGCTTCCAAAATTTCAAATGAAAGTAAATGTTATCAGTATGTAGTACACACACACACACACACACACACACACACACACAGCTGGTATGTACATTTATTTTATCACAAGAGGAAATACGTGTAGAATGTAAAAATACTGCTTTACCCATACTGCAAATATACACTTAAGCAAAGGACACTAAATATGTGTTTATGTGTTTTAATACCTAAAACAAAAGAACTCATTCTGCACATACGGGCATTTTCTTTACATTGAAAGCTCCAGAAAGATCCATTTAACCCTCTAGAGGACTCATAATCTCTTTGCTGGTGATTTCGTAGCCTCGCCATGGCAACTAAGTGAAATGATCACACATACACAGTTTTCGGACGCTATGTTTGTTCTCTTTTTGTAGGTGATGAAAACTTGACTGAATTCATTGCAGACAGATATGTTCCTGCTATAAATGTGCAAATGTTCATAACACTCCTGTTTCAGCCTTTAATTTACCTTAACCTGATTGTTAGCACAGCTGCAAACAGCAGGAGTTATCTCAGAACTCAGTGCAGTGACATTTTCACAATCCACTCAGTTATTCTACAACATGTATTACAAACTAACGAGGAAAAAAACAAAATAAACACTAGTAATTTAACAAAAGCTATGGGAAACACACTCTATCTGACATCCGCTATTACTGTTAATTCTGCTTGATACTGGACATTTCACTCATAACCATTTCCCCAGCAGTGAATAACACCAGAAATAACTGTTTTTCCCCATCCCGACACTTCCTCCTCGTGGTCAGGAGCATTTCTGTTGTGTTGTGGCTTTATTCCGTCATGCTGTTAACTTATGTTTGCTTTTTATATTTCCTTGTGTTGTGCATTACCGGTCGACCATTCATTAGGGCCAGGGCCATCCCGTGAATAGACAAATGCTAGGGCCTTCATCCATCCATAGAGGGCGCCCAAATGAGTGAGTGATTTTATCTATTTTTTTTTTTGCAAAATGCGAAAAGCCCCCAAAACAACATAACGACATAGCTTATATTTTCTGTTGCCCTCAGCGTCATCCCGGTCCGGTGCATCAATCATCTGCCATTAGGGAATGTTAGAAAGACTATTCGGGTGTTTTTTGGGGGAATAACCCTATAATATAAATAATTGTGAGAAATATACTTTTTCTTTCAAGGGTGCTGCTGCACAAACCATCCATTGTCCGTCTCAAGAAAGCAGGCATAGGCATACATACATACAGAGAGAGAGAGAGAGAGAGAGAGAGAGAGAGAGAGAGGTAATGCGTGCAAATCAGAATACACATTACAGGAGAAGCACATGGAAAAATTTTGTGCAGACCAAGACCACATTTTGGTGTGCAATTATGAATGAACCCTGTCTAACATATGTCTAAATTTTGGTCAATATAATAACATTTCATATAGTGCTTTTCATTTTCCAATGTAAGAAATATTAATTATTGACTCATTTAAAAGACAGTGTTTGTTTTAATATAATTAGCCTATTTTAATAGTATTCTTTGAATAAAGTTGAATAAAATCTCTCCAAAGGTCCATCATGGTTATGAACACCCTCATCATCAAATCCTTTTGGATCAGCTCTTATGTAGTTTCCGATAGCCTCGGTAAGCAGGGAGCTTTCATTTATTGAGAAGCACCAGGCATCCAGATGACTGGGTTGTTCCACTGCCATGGCAACTGGCCATTGATCTGTACATCTTTAAAATTTGTTAAAAGTGGTGTGTGTGTGTGTGTGTGTGTGTGTGTGTGTGTGTGTGTGTGTGTGTGTGTGTGTGTGTGTGTGTGTGTGTGTGTGTGTGTGTGTTGTGTTGGGGGGTAGTTACGGAGAAAAGAGTAGCAAATGGCAAGAGGAAAATAAGAAGCAACAGGATAGAAAAAAACAGAAGCAAAAAAAAAAAAACCAAGGACCAAGGTCTTTCTGACCTCAGTCATTTGCTGTGAGACATTCAGGTGTTGTTTTTAAATTTCATGGCTCATTTCATGGCTTATTCACAATGAATTAAATATGAGGTTTCTGCACTTCTTGCATGCAGGTGAAAGCAAACTGGGTGGATTACATAACAGAGGTTAATTAGGAAAACCATACATATGCTCTTGACATATAGACTCAGTTGCCCTTTTATTAGGAACACCTGCCTTGTATATGCACTCTGACCATTTTATCGGGTCCACATAAGTCACTGAAGAAATATACGTTTACTGGTAAAGCCCATTTACTGCTTTTGCACAGTTTGCCATCTGATCCTTTAAATCAATTCAAATTTCAGTTAAATTAAATTTAATTATTATAGCATTTTAACAATAGACATTGTCACAAACTAACTTTACAGAAATCCAGATTTATAAAGATAGCTAATGAGAAAGCCGGATGCGACCATGGTGACTTTCAAATGGTGACCTTAACATCACACCTAATGAAGACCCCAAAAGTCTGATCAACCACTGGTGAAAGCTGCTGACTACAGTTTGGCATTGGTGTGGATGATGTGTTTATCTATCTACTGAACAGGACAAACTCCTACCTGAACACAGCAGCATTGTGAAGATTATATTCTTCTGTTTCAACACCATACAACCTTAACAGTTGGGGGAGAAACTCCAGTTCCATACAGCTCATCATAATCCCATGGCCGGGCATTTGCGGCGATGATCGCAGGTCGTGTGCGGCACATAGCAATCGTCAGCTGCTGAAATTGCCAGCCACCCAAAAGCACCATTGTGCCCTTTTCCTTTAATCAAGGTTCCCTTCAAAAGAATTGTCATGGGCCTTGGAACGGATTGCACAAGGGCATTGATTTGAGTTAGTTTCAGCGGACTACGTAACGCGATACCATAGCTCTGAGTTGGAATCCTGAAATAGGACTAACCAGGGCACTACATTTATGTCACACACCCTTAGAAAACTGTATGAATTACTAGAGATTAAATCGAATCACACAAGTGTTTACCAGCAGCAAACGGATGGGCTGGTGAACGGTTTAATCAGACCCTTATAAACACGATTCGTGAGTACATTCATGATGAGGCTCGGAAGTGGGATGCGTGGCTCGAACTCCCTGTTGTTTGCAGTAAGAGATCCCACAAGCCTCCACGGGGTTCTCCCTGTTCAAATTATTATATACGCATAAGCATCAGGACATCTTCGATGGCATTAGGGAAAATTGGGAGGAGGGAACTTCTAACAGCAAAAATTAAATTCAGTATGTTCTGGACCTGAGAGCATAACTCCAAACCCGACATTGGTACTCGGGTGCAGTACAGGAATTGGCATGAGAAGATAAGGTACTTGTTTTATTACCCACATCAAGTTCTAAATTACTCACAAAGTGCCAAGGACCCTTGAGGTTACACGCTGAGTTAGTGAAGTCGACTATGTGGTCAGGTGAACAAATAGAGCAAGGCAGATCAAATATACAACCTCAATCTTCCTGTGGCTTAAATGACAGTGAAACCAAGAGGAAGGAGTAACAGTAAATCACAATAAATTGCAGCCCAATTCACCCCAGTGTGTACTCAGTTGGGGCGCACGGTGGCTTAGTGGTTAGCATGTTTGCATCAAACCTTCAGGGTCAGGGGTTCAATTCCCACTGTGTGTGTGGAGTTTGCAAGTTCTCTCTGTGCTGTGGGTGTTTCCTCCCTCAGTCCAAAGACATGCATGGTAGGTGGATTGGCATAAGTGAGTGTACCTTGTCCAGGGTGTTCGGTCTATTTGGAATCTCAGCAATATATTAGTGGACAGAACACTCCTCTTACACCAAGCATATGCCACTGATTATTTAGATATCCTTATCGTTTACAGTAATGACTGACAGAGACAACATCTGAGAGCTGTTGTGAGATCCTTAAGATGGGTGGGACTCACAGCAAATCCAGAGAAGTGTGTAATTGGATGGGTGAATGTACAGCGTCTGGGTTCCCACTTGGGCCATGGGCAGGTGCATCCCCAAATTGAAAAGAAAGCGGATCCCTCATTGGTATCTGGCACTTCAGCCACTCAGATTCGAGATGGTACATATGCTAGGGGCAAAGATGGAGGTTTCGGACTACTGCTCTCACTGGGTTTGGGTTTGGGCTGGTTGGTGGTTGCATGATCAACTGCAAGCTGGATGGCTTACTGTCCTACTTCTATTATTATTATTATTATTGTTGTTGTTGTTGTTGTTGTTGTTGCTGCTGTTATCATTTATAAATCTTATTAATAAATGAATAATAAACATTATTTATTTATGTCATCTTTAGTTGATGAAGCGGTGTAGCTGCTGTTTTTATTATTATATTTTAGGAGAACGCAAACCCTGTTTGAGCTTTTACTTTATATACTAGTAAATATATATACCATGTTTATGTATATATACAGAGAGAGAGAGAGAGAGAGAGCATGTTTTATTTTGATATCATTAAACTCCTAAAGACAAAAAAAAAAGTACAAACAAAAAATCCACAACGTTAATTGAGTGTAATATAATTTTGTACGGAGGAAATGGCGATCGTGAACATATCCTGAACATTCTGTTGGTGGGGTTGGGGGCATTCTAAAAAATATATATGCATATTTATTTATTTGTTTAAGAAAGAAAGAAAAAACGAGACTTTTATTTTGAAAACAAATCCTGCAAAATTTGACCCGGACGTAAAATAAATGCCATAAGCGCATGTACGAGAAGGAAAGAAAAAAGGTAAAATATTCACTGTTTTATGTAAGCTGTCAAAATCGGATATTTAAAAATAAATAAATAAATTATTGTCTGTACGAGTCGGGAAAGCTTTACAGCCCAACTCAAAGGTCTTTTATCATGGTGTCCTTTTTAATAGTGTATGACCTCTGTGTTCTCGCTCTCAGTAAGCCCTCACATGTCCGATAGACTGCAGTTAAACCCCTCTCACATGTCCGATAGACTGCAGTTAACCCCCCCTCACATGTCCGATAGACTGTCCGATAGACTGCAGTTAAACCCTTCTCACATGTCCGATAGACTGCAGTTAAACCCCTCTCACATGTCCGATAGACTGCAGTTAACCCCCCCTCACATGTCCGATAGACTGTCCGATAGACTGCAGTTAAACCCTTCTCACATGTCCGATAGACTGCAGTTAAACCCCTCTCACATGTCCGATAGACTGCAGTTAAACCCCTCTCACATGTCCGATAGACTGTCACACTTTCTGCCTCTCACACAACAGGACTAAAGCAGTGCGGCTCATGGACAGGTCAGTATCAGTGTCTGAGGAGCCTTCCACAGTAATCTCTCCCCGTAATCACATGAGCTGGAATTAGAAAGCCCTTCTCACACTGCTGCATCTTACTCCGCTACAGCAGAGGAAGATGGTTCCAGTAAAACTCGTTATTTTAATGCTGTTCTTATCCTCTGCGCCAGCGGCATGCGTCTCCTACCGTCCAGCAAGGTTCAGACTCCACAATGTGTGTTCATAGAGCTTGTGTTCTGCTTTGTGTCACTCTGAACTAATCTTCAACATGGCTGTGTTATATGTCTAGGATGGGAAACTTCATGTCCACCGGCGCTGGAAGGTTTTCAAACCAGACATATGTACAGTTTATACAGGTAAGCATTAAAGTCTTCACTCATGTCAGCATTTTCTACAAAAGCTTGTTTTAATGCGCTCATGGACATGGACTTGTAGGGCGACTGGGTACATCAGTGGTTCTCAAAGTGGGCTCTGGTGTCTGACTTCTTTTAAATCATTTTTTCTTAGTAACAACGGGTACAAGAGTTTATTTATTTATTAATGAGTATTTAGGTCCAGGGTGTAACCCCACCTTGTGCCCGATGCTCCCTGTGATAGGCTCCAGGTTCCCCGTGACCCTGAAAAGGAGAAAGCGGTAGAAGATGGATGGATGGATAGGTCCGAGCTCTTATATGGTGGTCAGTTGAATTGAATGGGTTTAATCCAAACCCCACTGACTCAAAACCAAAAAGTCACCGGTAAATGATTTAAATATGGAAAGTTTCGGAACGGAAACCTCTATAGGTCTAACGAATTGGCATAATATTATTGTACGCATTTAAATAATGTTAATTGAATAAATCTGTACTGTACCCTGGAATTTATTTTACACTTAAACGACTCCCTGGTTACAAAATCTTTGAGAACCCCTGATCTAAAGGCGTTAACAAAGAAAAGCATATCGATATGATGACGTTTTTTTTTTGGTTGTTAGGAGATATCTGTTTCACATTTACCTGAGGAGTTTTCAATGTTAGTGCTGTTATAAGGGATAACCGGAGCTAACTGGTCTCATGGATGTCACGTAACACTAAATTTAAATGTAAAGAGGGTTAAAAACCCTGACATGTCATTCACTAATAAATGATTAGAAAATGTAGTCACTGTGGTATAAGAGGGGAAAAAAACACTTGAGGACGTGCTGTTATGGGAAGAGTAATTCACTGTCTCATGTCTAGGGTGGGGTCACACTACCCTGACACAAATCTTTTCCCTATAACACCCTGTCATGTTTAATTCCTTACATGTGTGTTTTTTTCCCTCCACATTTAGGATTTGGTGTCTCATAACTGCGTCGTTATCTTCTCCAAGACAACGTGTCCTTATTGCAAGATGGCCAAGAATGTCTTTAATCAAATAGGAGCTACCTATAAGGTGATCGAACTGGATGAACATCATAACGGCCAACAGCTTCAAGAGGCTTTAGCACAAATGTCCGGTGCCAGAACGGTAAGGCGTTCGTGTTCATTTATGTGCATTGTGACTGTATAAATTACATGGCTCACTTAAGGGTCTATAATGTAACAACGATACAAAAATCAAATAAATGTAGCTAAGTTGGCTTTGAAATGGTTTAAATGGCTTTTAAATGGTCGGGTTTTTTTCAGGTCCCAAGAGTCTTTGTCAATGGACAGTGCATTGGAGGAGGCTCTGATACGCGACAGCTCCATGAACAGGGCAAACTGTTGCCACTCATTGAGAAGTGTAACCCATGCTGCCTGAATAATGCTGCAGAAGGATCAGGGAGTGGACAACATGCTTCATGACTGTTGATTAGTTTACGCACTATTACCATCCTCCTGCAGTCCAGATGAATTAAATCAGCGAATACTGAGATAAAGAACTAATGACTGGTATCCGGCAAGTGGTGTATTTTGTTTTTTGTTTTTTTTCCGTTGTTGTTGTTGGTGGTAAAAAAAATGTTCCTACCTCAGTACTATTCATTCATGTATAGTTGTAAAAAAAAATAGTGCAATAAAATATGAATTTTCTTTTTGACAGACGTGGAAATATACTGTATGAACTCTCTGAAGATGATCAAATATTGCTGCATACAAACACTCAATAGTTACAGATCATTTTTATGTCTATTGTATGGGTTCTGGTTTAATTGCGTACACTTCATCCACTGTTATGGATGTTTAGTGGGTGTGGCTTAAACAAATTTTATTAACATGATGTCAAGATGCTCAATTGCCGTGGGATTTTTGTTGTCCAAAAAAAAAAAAAAAGATGTTGCAATGGCAAGGTAATCAGTTAGGAAGGCAAGTGTGGCAACATTCTGCTGTACCTCATACAGTGTGGCACAAGGTTAACGTGCATGTTTGTTGATACAGCATAATGAAATAATTAGTACATTATTCATAATGTACGCTGGCTTATGTACTAAGCTTTTTTATAATCCTTCATTCATTTCTTCATTAGGTTCTGTAATCCTAGTTATAACAACTGATTCCTGATAAACTAAACACACGTCCCTCTGAACTCAGTGACGTGGAATGAACCAGAATCTATCCCATTTAACTACACATAACTATTCATTTTAATGGTACAACATGCTAAGACATTCTATGAGAGTGTGTGTTTCCAACTTTGTGGCAAGTTTGGGTGATGGTCAGGTGTGCACAAACTTTTGGCCATATAGTGTGTTACTGACATCATAAAATGCTCAAAAGTTACAGGTGTCCTAAATGGTAAATCTGGTGCAATTATCAAAGTGTAGGCATGCAGAGTATTCAAATAAAAAACATGAGCCAAAGTTTATTCCAAGACAGAAGAAAATCTTGCAGCAACAGAGAATTTATTCTGAAAAGTGGTTCTAGAAAAGTAATAACAGAGAAAAGATAAAAAAGAGAAGAGAGCAGAGCAGTAGTGTGATTACGTGTTATTATAATACGACCAAACAGAGCAAAATCATTGGCTAAGATACATTACCATATTATTCATCATTAAAGGATTGGTACAGCCTTTAACAACATTATGAATATTCATAAAATCATCATTTGTCCATTACAGGTGAGCAAAAGAATGACCAGGATGATGATTAGCAAAACTGGTTCAAACCATGACCTTTGACATCAGTACTTTAGGACTATGTGTTTGGATTTACTGAACAAGATGTTATTTAAAAAGGAGCTTTGTGTTATAAACGTAAAGCCTTTCCAAAGTATACTCCATTTGACATGTACGCGTACACAGGGGTTCGACGCATGCGCATTACTTGCCCTACCTCTCATGGCCTGCAAGAGTCAGTACAGAGCAGTAAAGTGGGTCCTTTGGTGTGAAGGACGACAACGAAGAAGAATCAAAGCAATACAAAGAGCAATGCTTGGGCAATCTCTCGTCACGATT